TTCCCCCGCTCAAATGGGTCTAGTCTCAGCCACATAACAGAATATACCGTACTGTAGTCTGCTACGTATGTCCTTGAGACTCAGGGATATGCCGCTCTGGCGCTACAGGTGTCACAAGTAAGGAGACACGACCAGATCTCTCGAGATTCGTGAATACCCTAAACTGTTACACTACAATCGAAACTAATACAACTTCCAAGATAAGTCAACCGCTCGACTAATTTGAGTCTCTTCCTAGACTGTAGATGGCTTGTCCGGTGACTGATTGTCCAACAGCATGACCTTACGCTTTGTGGGTGCAAATTGCATTCCAAAACTCGATATGACTTTGGTCAATTTATGCAAAAGCGTCTGCACCTTCCATTCTTTGAACACGGGAAGGAAATCATCTGCATATTCCAGATCGAAAAGGTTTTCATCAGCCATTTGAACACCAAGATTTTTAACACTTTCCAGCGTTCGCCTGATTACTTCCTCGTTGAAGAGGTTAGACAAGAGAGGAGAGAGTGGGTATCCTTGTTGGATACCACTTTTTGTAGAAACTGTCGTAGGAAGTTCATCAAACACTCTCATATACCCAGAAGTACATTAATATAGGGACAGGATTATGTTCACAAACTTCTGCGACACCCTGTTGAGCAAGTATGCCTGCCACCACTGACCGACCGACAGAGTCGAACACACGCTTGACGTCAAGGGATACATATGGCGTTGCCCTAACACCTGATGGAGTGTGAGGATGTGGTCGACGCAGCCTCTACCCAGCTGACATCCCGCTTGCTCACAATTCAAGGATTCGTGTGCCGCTGTAAGACGACAAAGAAACCAGAAGCTTCATTAAAACGGGAGTAAAGCTAACACCTCTGTGGTTACCGCATTCATTGAGAAACCCTTTTTGAAAATGGGCATTCCATTAGTTTGGGACGGTCTCTTACTCCAAACAGGCTGGCTATGCTGTTTGAGGAATTCACTGTCATCCTTGGGTAGTGTAAGGTCCTCAGGAAAAACGGTAGGATGGCGTTTGGTTAGATATACAAGCAAACACTTTTAAGGCTGAAGGGGGTTCCATATCAACAGTCCATCTTTTTCCTGAAGGTCGACAGACCGAATTGGAGGTAGCAGGTGGCCAACTGAACTGTTGTTCGAAGGATCCTGCCCGGTAGCCACAACGTCCTTTTTTGCTGAATATCAAAGAGCCACTCTGGTCCGCGATAGTTTCACTGACAAGATGGTTCCTAGGACCAGTCGAAAGAATCAAGTGGAACAGCCTGCGGATGTTTCTAGCGTTTTTCGCACATTCCATTTCTTGGGCCTTTTGGGTTCACCAAGCTTCAGTCTGCAAGGACGCTCAGTTGCACCTGGCGTCGGATGATGAATCCGGTTGAGATGTGACTGAGGCCGGGAGAATCTGTCGGTAGGCCTGCAGCAAAGCCACGGTCTATGATCTAGTGTTCGAATGAAGTTGGCTGGGTTGTACCACAAACGGAGTGGCGCTGTGGATTTCTGCTTCAAATGAACATTAATAGCTGAACTAAGAAACCGTTCGCCGAGCCAGTTCTCGAAGTTTCGTTTGACTTCGGGGTCCACTAGCCTCTCACTGGCTAAGTGAGGTGTGCACATTTTGTGTAAATCTGAACAGCATAATGGAAAGCAGCAGCGCACAAGTGCGTGGTCTACGTTGGTGTTCCAGGAGTGACAGCCAGTGATCGATTCTCGCGATTGGTAGGTGATGGCGATGTGTCTATTTAAAATCGGGGCTGGTTTGTTGCCGGGCACCACGTTGTCAAGCGGTTCCCGCTCTTCGTGAAATTGGAACTGCAAAGGAACAGTCTGTAGTGGGCACACATCTAGAGCAGGCGCACTCCGTTACCCACGTGTTTCATATCTAACCCAAGAAGCTCAGTCCTTGGCTGAGCGCTCATGTCACCAGCAACCAGTGTCCATGCTCTTGGTTAGCTGTAAAAAAAAGACAACTAGAGCTTCGTGGAAATATCCATTGACATGTTAAGAGATATAGTCCGTTGGGCCGTAAGCAGACACAATGAACAGACAGTGGTGGACCCCACTTTCCCAAGATTCTTCCATAGACGCTGCCAAACGAACCACCCAGAGACAACTGTCAACGGGTATCTAATCAATACAATACGCTCAATGCAATAGCCACCCCGGCATATCCGGCTGCAGCTGCCTCCGCATCACCAGAGGTTCGCAGCTGCGAACTAAAAGGAAGAAAGGAGGCAGTTAGTTCGATTACCGTGTTTCCATTCTGTATCCTTGTTTCTGACAAACAGCATACATCAATCCGGAGGAAATCCTCTGACGAGGAAGAGCCGCTTATTACCCCGATTGCTTCTACATGCGAACAATAGATGCAGGTTTCGGGATTTGAGAACATCATTTGACGTGCTAAGGGTTGCTGTTGAAGTCGGATGTGTGGAAGCTGCATCTGAGTATGACGCACTGTGAACACATCGGCTATTGCTAGTTCTAGGATTTGCGAACACAGCATTAAAATTGGGGTGGGGTGGTGTAGGGCAGAAGAGGTAATACGTGAAAGTGCAAGGCGTCAGCGGCAGCATGTTTTGGTTTGCCCGCCCCAGTGTGAAACAAGTAGGGTAACTCTGCTGGTTAGACCACGCGACGGCGGATGGGACATGGTTTTAGTTGTGTGCAATTCATGGTTGTGTGTGGACTGGGATACTACCAGAACGCCCAGACCTTGAGAAGGAGACGGTTAGGACCTTTGGCTCAAAAGCCTGAGCGCAAGGCAGCGGTATTCGGCGGGGAAAAATCGTTCAGCTGTAACACCCTTCTGGTGCCTAGCTGCCATGCCACCCGGAGGAAGCACGAGGGCTGGGATACTGCCAGGTTGCCCAAGCCTAGACAGAGGAAATCGAGAGGCCGATGTTGGGTTCGAACCACAGACCTTCTGGTCAGTAAATTCGCGCTCTAACCAATTGAGCCATCTCGACCCCATCCGGCGGGAAATGCAAACGAGTTACCAGTTTTATAGAACAAGTCACCATCCATGTTTCAGCCCCCAACCTGAAAGACCAGGAGACTGTGATGATCAGACCTCTAACCACTGACCAGCCTGGTATGAGAGACCGCGAGTTTCGCACGGACACCACCCAGTGTGGCTCAAAGAGTCACGCAGGAAAGCAAACCGTCACGGTGTTCGTTCAACTGTAGCACGCTATCGGTACCTAAATGCCGTGCCATCAGAAGGAAGCATGAGGGCTGGGGTACTGCCAGGTTGCCAGGAAGTCGAGAGGCAGAGGTCGGGTTCAAACCACAGACCTTCCGGTCAATAAATTCGCGCTCTAACCACTTGGATCATCTCGTCCCATATCCATCTGTTAAGTCATACCTTGTCCGTCTCGCGGTTTCAGCTATTCTGAAGGAAGCACGCAGAACAACATCCGTCTTAGTAGATTATGTTTCAGTGTGCGTACCTCATAGCAGAGCCACTACAATTTTCGGCGGTGGATTTTCCGACTCTTAAGATCGAGTGATCCCTTCAGAGGCAGAGATCCAGTGATATACCTTTTTGATGCCACAAGTGACACAAATTGGCAGGCGTGATTCGCGTCTTTGAGTTTCTCGCACTGACTTCATCAGGTATACTTCCATCAGAAATAATAGAACTACCGGGTCACGTAAAATTCTCCACAACCTCCACTGCTCCCCTTGAATTGTAAGGATGTTCAGAGACTGCACACTCCAAAGCATGACGTTGCACTCTGAAGGTACAAGACGCGTGCCAAAAGATGTTAGTGTGTGGATGGATGTGAGAGTGTGAATATTTGGCCAGTGAGACCCTTGAATTAAGGCATGGATACAGACTCAAATGGTCTAACCAGACGAGCCTATCTTTTGAGTATTTTTTTGAGCGATCTAGAGCGGTTTGCGCTGAAACACTTGGCATCTGTTTAGAGTTTTCTAAAGCTATTGAGCGAGTAACAAAATAGAGCGATGGGGGAAATAGCCGCATCATCATAACGGGCCCATAGTATTAGTACTCACGCCTGACTGGCTGCTTTTATGGGACCCATCAGCATCTCCCGGGTACTGAGTTGCTCAAGATCGATATAATTAACCTTTCAAGTGCAATCGCAGCAATATCACCGTCACAAATAACACTGGGGTTAGCGCGGGCAATTCGTTGTTACCCAACGCGCCGTCATTATTGACACAGGATTACCTTATGACAAAACTGTACGACGAAGATAACTCATCCGAACATTTCGGTTACATTCACCAATGACAAGTGATTAAACTACATTAGCGCTTCCCTCGAATGTGTCAAATCCCGTCCCTACTGTCCTGGCTCCTTTTCTGCTTCAAGACCCGAGCTGCGAAGTCTCGCTCCAGCTTAACCCTGAAAATTCAAATTCCCCCATTAGGAAACGATCAACGCCCCTGTTATGCCCCGCTGAACCCCTCGAATATATTGGAATCACCTTCGACCTCCCATCGCGAGTCACCTGTTAGCAAAAGCAGAAGAGCTTTGCCATCTGCGCCTGTCAAAGTTCCACGACTTACCCACCAACGCCAAACACCACCCTTCATGCACCGCATTCAAACGCCAGATAACTGTGGATGTATGTGATTCATTTAAACATTCATGACCCAAACGCGATCAAAACTCAGATATCACAACCTGAGAAACAATTTCTCTTCTGTTCTTCGGTATACCCTACTGCTGTTAGGATGACATAGTAGAGGACTGCTCCGTCGGTTATGACGCACTTGTGGAGAGTTGCGAGTATATTGAAGATGCGGTTTGTACGTTACCTTAATGGAATTTTATCCATCCTGATGAAGGGCAGCAGTTAATCAACCCATCTTGGAGTTTGGACAATCAACTGGTACTCGTGCATCGTTCAGTGGACAGTCAACATAGAACGCATGAAGCAGACTCATCCTAACCTTGGATACCTATTGGGTTACTGAAAGTGAAATAAGGAGAGCACGCTAAACCGTTAGGCTAAACTCACCTCATCTTGCTTAGTGAGGATGTGGCACACACCGGAACGGCCTGCTCGCCATGGCGGGCCCAGATTATCGGACCGTCGTTGCTGTCGTGAGGATCCATTCCGGAGAGGCTGGAGAGTGCTCCCCATGGCGTAACTAAGCGGAGAAATGGATCAGATTCAATCATGCGGAGAAGATCATTCGAGAAGCAGCCACGTTCCTCTCCTTTGGTTCCTACAATACTTATAGCATGTAGGGGGCCAAAGCGGAATATTCCTCGTGTGTAGGCCTTGAAAACGTCTTCAGAGTACCTCGATATGGACGTAGATTCTGAAGCATTTTTTCGTTCTAAGGGATTCGTGTTAACTTTCAATTCTGGGTACATCACGGAAAGATACGAAAGCAACTCAGGTATACGCTTAGCAGCACCATGGACAACACCGATGCAATAATATGAAAAGGGGACATGTATTCCCCTCTTCCGTCGCTCTGTGAACAGTGTTCTGAAATACTTCTTGGTGAACAGTTCGAGCTCAACTTTATTTAAGTGTGCGAGTTCGTCAGCGTAGGAATGCAAAGCATAACCACCACCGTTCTCATAGTGCTCCACATACATCAAATCAGATAAATGTCGCAGCGGAGAGCGAGGCACTTTCGATCTTGCAAACGACTGGATTAAGTGTCTGAGTGGATCATGTCCATATTTAGCTGAGGCGCACTCTGCAGAATGGCGCTTCCGTGAAAATTTCGAAGTTAAGTGGCTGTGATCCGGTCCCACGCCGTTTGAGGTGTTCGTATCCACCGACGACTTGGTTTCCATAAATTTCTGTAGGGTGGAAAGGCAGGAAGTCGATGACTTGAACTCTACTGACTGTCTACATGCCATAAACTCAAAGCTGGGCACAGGTGTGAGGGGGGAATAGCACTCAGCAGCGGACCAAATAGATACTTTGACCTGATTGGTTATTACACCGTGCGATGAGTATCGTAGGTATGGTAGAGAACACGAAAAGGCTCAGAAAACAAGATCTTAAGCCCCATGTTTGGACACAGGATAACAGTGTGACTTGGAGGACCAGTAAGGCGTTTCGGTGAATTTCATCCTGTGTTACTGAATACTTTCACCAAATGTATACACTAGTAGGAAGCCGGGGACTAGTAAAATCGGGTCGGAAAGTACCTGGAACCATCCATAGTTCCGGATGAAAAGAGAAACAGATGTCCCTCACCCTTGGCGGTGGTCTATAAAACGAGATTAGTAATACATCATAGGACATTATGAATGATATGTACATCAATATGTTAAGTGGCAGACTTATGTCTGAATTTGGGTATGCCTAATTTGTTAGCGATATGAATGGATCGGCCAGTGGATGGCCGATCCTGATCCAGCACACAAGGTTTCCTCAAAACCGTAGGAGCGAAAAGAAGGGTCAAACGTTAGAGAGCGGCACATAACTGCATACATGGCTAAATCAAAAGGTACATAACCCGCAAAACTTGTGAAAACTTGTTCGAATTGATTATTGTGCGTAGTTCTGGTGTGCACCTCAGTTTTTAAATTGCACAATACGGTCACAACTCTGCAGTTAGTTGGTTCAAGTTAAGATATTTTTCTTGGGAAACTGGTTGTTGCATTGGCTCCATCCTTCTCGGTCTTCAACGCAGTTAGCATACGTCCGTGCTCGGGTGCAGAGAACCTTCTGCACCAATGGAAGGTCTTTGAGCCGAGAGATATCGATACATTTGGGAGGCATGAAAGCTTCTTTATCTGTCTCGTAGTGTTGGAAACTTACACTACTCTACAGTTCCGGGTTCCTACAAAATTCAGCCGACACCGTCCACTGTGGCGTGGTGCTCCAAGTGGCATCTCACGAGCAAGGGGAGAACGCCGTTGACAATGTATGAACTAATCCCAATGCGACGGTTGTGACAAGTCTCTCAGTTTTCGAGCTTCACTGGACCTCATTTTCCGATTATCGGAAGATTTTTGGAGATGGAGCGGCTAGATGGTATCAATCATTCAGGGAGTGTACAGTAATTACAATTTCGCAGACGAAGGTAGCAAGAAGCTTACGCAGCATGCACCAGCTGCCCACAACTTTTCGACTTAATGTGGCCGGCGTTACCTGAACACAAAATATATTCACCTGATTAGTCTTATTCGATCCTTTGCGAAACGGTTCGTCAACTGTGTGGATGTTTGGGCTTTCGTACGTCAATGATAACCTACAGGGCTATATGGACAGAAAATCATCAGCCAAATGAATATTTCGTGCTCCTGAATCAGTACCTTGAACATGCGCCATTGGATGTAACCCCGTATGTTAATATTTTAAGGGACTATCCACATGAAATCGTTGTATTTACCACAAAGGTAAACAACGCCATTGCCGATAAGCTCAAGCTCCAAAGCAGTGAAACAAAAGACCTGTTGTAGTCGCAATAGTTGCCGTGAAGCAGTGATTTATTTTACAACACCGACGCTAAAGCCACTTTGGGCAGTTTACATATGAAGTGCCGCTTGAATGTAGAAGTTATCCTTTGGGTGTCCTTGAAACTGGGCTGTCGTTAACGGCAACACAAACACCAATTTACGCCGAAAATTCATCGGTTAGTTTGTTTTTTGCACCATCAGGACGCTAGTATTCTTTTGCCAACCGCCAGACTAAGTGGGCACGAACCACCCCGCCTCACCATATTTCTCCACTCGATCTCAGCAAACCCAACTGCATTCGCCAATCTCGATGGCTTGCTCAGAGGCATTTTTGGTGCATTTGAAATTGGTCGTGTTTTTGCTCGTACAAATTTTCAGAATTCATTCAACTCATTCAATTCAGTTAAGGAAGTAACGCGTGTCAATTGGTTAGAGTTTCCAATCCAATATAACCTTGCGTGAAAACCTATCCACTTCTGCGGTGCGCTCAATTATTCACAAGCATGAGCCAGGTTATTTCACTCTGGTTTGTGTCACAGTTATCAGTGAACCGCAACAGATGTGGATTAAATAAAAGGCCGGCAAACGTATGACATGGAACTTCATGGTTGAGAGACCTACTGACATTTTGCATGTACTAGGATGACTAGATAAGCCAGGCATCCAACGATTTTCGCGCCTTTGTTTGCGCCTGCTTCCTCTGAATCGGGGAAGCCATTCAACCCACGACTAGCAAGACAATTTCCAATGAACGAAACCCCGCCTCCATTTCATTGCCGGAAAGACCAGCATGAATATTCATTATTATTTGGTAAAATAAAAGAAAAACTGGAATTTCTTTTTGAAAGCGCTAGAAAATTCAAACATAAATGAGGTAGCTGCGTGGACGAAATCCGATAATGAACTTTTCTCCATGAACAAAGATCTAATGCTCTCCTTCCAGGGTTCTTTGGCTGAGAAGAAGCTGATTCGGCTCCCTGATGCAGTAACCAACAAAACGACGCCGACTCCAATGAACAGGCGCACAAGGAATTCCAGAATGATCATCGGAAATTCGTTCTTCAGAACAATCGTGCCGCCAAACTACCCCGCAGATACGTTTTCTAATTTAGGATTACTTTTCTCGGATGACATATCACCCTGAACTTCCAACGCTCGAGCCCTCCAAATGGATGGAGACCCTGCGAAGCATCGGTTACTGGAAAGGCACCTTCCACCGGATGACGAAAATTTCGTCCAAATTTGATTCTGAGGAGACTAGGCAAACGCCGTTATCGTGCCGGGTAGGGATGGACCAGAAGATCTAACGAAGACAGTAACAAAAAGAATTAGAGCATGAGTCCCATCAAAAATGTCCTTCAAAATGTACCATGAAAAAGTTGCTGAAAAATAGTTTGTAGTTCCACAGATGGCTCGACGTACATTCCTCGGTATTACTAGCATAAAGGCGGGTTGATCGACTGGCTCCAAGCCAGAGTACGTCTTGGATACGCGAATCAAGGGCTCAATAAAGACGTAACATTTACTGTGTGCAAAGAGCTATCATAAAGTGTTTGCTTGTCTTAAATCCATTGACTCCGAAAGGCGTCTTCCCGTAGATTGACTAGATTCTCCGAAGTATCTCTCCTTCGAGGAGACCTGGTTGAACGAGGTTTGACGAATGAAGTTTATCAGCATTAAACAAACTATCACACGGCTGGGAAATGGTTAGCAAAATTTCCTACTCAAGACGCATAATTTTATCGGGCAACAATTTTTCTCACATCAAGCAGTCCTCCCGCGGCGCGTTTAGCACCCTTTTCAGAGCAAGTTCGGATGCTTTCACTATCAGTCCTTGTGTTGGTATGTTCAGCGCTGGGAACATAAAGAGTGGTGGTAGGCCCCATTTCCGCTTGCGTTTCTCAGGCGAATTCAAGCCACTGACTGACAAAAACAAGCTCCACCCGGGAAGCTTGGGCAAAAGCTTTATAACTATGCACAAATCCGTGAATTTGTGGAAAGCGGTGAACCAGCATAAAATTTAAATGCGCTGTCGCAACCGTCGTGCACAATTTGGCTGCCCATATGTGTCTTGTTATATCCTCACCAACACGCTCCTTCTCGGTTGTTTTGGGCCTTTGGCCCGTGGGAATCAACCTACGTAAGCTCGCACTCCCTTTGACGTTTTCTCAGTGCGGCACAACTATGCCTCTGCTCCAAGTTTCAGGATGCTCTGACATTTTATACCAATCTGTGCACTTAATTATTCTCCCTGCGGTGACAATTTGTCTGTACTCTCTTAACATATTACTAAATAATCCCTGGTCCCGCAACAAGATTTTTCCCTCGGAGATGCCGTAAGACTACCTCTAATTCATTTACTTTGCAGTTCGTCAACGTACTCATCAATGTAGCCGCTCAAGGTGGTCCAAGTTCTGCCAAATCCATCACTTCTAACTCATAACTGTCGGGGAGCACTGCTGGAATTCTTCATTTTTCGGAGACATTCATCCTGATATTAGGTTTATATTGGCAAAAACTGTCACGTTCGCTCCGACAATCCCCATCTGAATCGCAAGTATTTGGCAGTAACCACTTTGCTATGCCCTCGTACGTTTTGGATCATTCTTCTTGAAACTGCGGGTGCCCTCAGCCAGCGATGGATTCTTCCATCTTTTTTGGCTGCACAAATATGGTCATAACTTTCGTGTATGCCACTCTCGCTGCATGCACTGCTCAGCGGTATCCGCTGAAGAATTCGAGTGCGGTTGGACATTCACGAAATACATCGTCATCCACCGCGGAAAAATAGGTGGTCTTGGCTCCGACCACCTACCATGAGCCCAACTCTCAGGAGGAAGAAGGGCGTTCAGAGAACCGATGTTAAAGGGAACCGGTTTTAACACGCACTAACTGCACACGATCTTATATTATCGCCTTAAAATGCTAATTGCCGCTCGGCTTGCCGCATGCATTTCACTGTCATGTTCGCAGCCTATACAGCCTGCAGGCAGATTTCATTTTGACATTAAAAACGTACGATTAACCGTTCGGTTCTCGTATTACTCTGTGACTAGTTGGGGGCCGTCGCTCGATGGGTTATGCACACCAGTCATATCGCTCAAGTGTGAACAAGTTCGCCTGTTGAGACGTAAAAATTCAGATGCGTCCAATATGCCTCGCACGTCAGATGTCCGTGGTTCAAATCCCGGCACGACCATTGGATATACACTGCTGGTGATCTCCAATAAGAAAGAAACTCTAGTCCCGCACTTCAATTTAGCATGGACTCACTGGGATAATTGCGCCAGAACAGTAGGACTACCGTTCAAACGAGAGTGGTGTGACTATGAACCAGGGTATTCATCCCGCAAAACCACGAAATCTAACCAAATTCATCATTTGGTGGTTACTTGATCATGCCGAACCCATTCAGCTGCT